TTAAGATATTTTTAAAAAATTTTTAAAAGAAGTCTCTTCTGCTCATTTATTTGTTTAAAAATATTAAAAATGATTACACTTTAAATCAGCTGTTTTCTATATGAATATATAGTAAAGTGTAATTTATTCCTGTGATCAAAGCTGAATTTTCAGCATCATTACTCCAGTCTTCAGTGTCACATGATCCTTCAGAAATCACTCTAATATGAGGATCTGATGATCAAGAAACAGTTATTATTATTATCAATGTTGAAAACAGTTTTGCTGCTTTAACTGTGATAACTTTTAATTTTAATGAATAGAAAGTAAAAAAAAATTTTTTATTTGAAGTAGAAATCACATAATAAATGCCTTTACTGTCATTTTTATTCATTTAATGCGTCCTCGCATAATAAAAGTATTAATGTCTTTCAAAAAAAACTTTGACTTTTAAAATCTCGCCGTTGATATAAGATGTTCATCAACGATGAACTCAAGAGATGTTGGAGTCAGTGACAGACACAGAGATGTTGTGTGATAAAATACCGTGTTGGTTTTGGTTCTCAGTGTTTATTGTACATGTTCAGAGAGAAGGGAGAGGGAAGACTGGATGAGGAGAGCAGCGAGTGGAGGGTTTAGAAGTAGTTGACGATCCTGCGGATGGACTGGATGTGGGGGTTCTGCGCCTGCCACTCATTATGGCTGCAGTAATTTCCTCTCTCCACAATATACATGCGACCACGGAAGTTTGGCTCTTCGTACATCACCCAGCTAAAGAGAAGAAGAGGAGGAACACAGCTGTGACATCACTGATGATGAAGCTAAAACATAACTTCGGGTCATTGAAATAAAGCAAGAATAAATATTGCATGAAAGTTTTTCAACATCTAAACATGTAGATACAATGCAAACTTAGCAATAATTCTATAATGATATAGTATATGCAGTGACAGATGGAGTTTAAAAGCAGCTGATCTATGGTTCATGTCCACAGAGTAGAACTCACGCTCCGTCGCCGAACACCCTGATAGAGTTGACGCAGTTCGTGTTGAATCCGCGGCTCTGGAGGAAGGGACAGTCGTCACAGAACTCCATACACTGACCGGTGTAGTTGCAGCCCTCGAACATCTCCATCCTGTAGTGCTCTCCGTGCTGAGAGACAAGCACAAGCACACTTTAGGACTCCAGTTCACTTCTATAGAGTTCTCTTTACATTTTACAGCTGGAATTGCATGCAACTCTAGCTATTTCTGCAGTATGAAGCATGCATATCGTGCATTGAATGCAAATCCCCTGTATGCATGGAATAACATTCTACATTTTCTAAAATATGCAGCACACAACAAAATGCACATGCACACTACGCACATGTCCTGTATGCATGGATAACACTTGTGCATTTTATAAAATATGCAGTATACAGCAGAATTACAACTCTATTTCTGCAGTATATTTATATTTTATATCTGGAATTGCATTAAAGATACTATTTCTGCAGTATGAAACATGCATATTATGTATGCATGGAATAACATTCTACATTTGCTAAAATATGCAATAAACAACAGAGCATATTGTGTCAGATGCTGCATCCCATAGTGCAATGCTCTCGACTTCACTGTTCAGTGACACATGTAATGAGGTCATGTGACAATGTTTATCATGTGTGTTTTTCATGCACTGCTTTTTAAAAAAGAAAAATCATACTGTAATGTCGATATATCAGAGATATGTTTCCATGCACGGCCTCATAAATGTGTTGCATGTAATCGTGTCATGTTTAAAGCACAAAGGCCCTTGCTAGTGTGTTATATATAGGGTGTAGATTGATGTTGAGTATGCAAATTTCCTGAATGCATGGAATGACACATTTCTAAAATATGCAGTAAACAACAGAGCATATCGCATGAGATGCTGCATCCCATAATGCAATGCTCTCGACAACTGAAGTGAGGTCATTAATTGGATCGACGGTTCATTAACCTTTAACCTCCATTGCATATTAAGTTCTGTAGATTATTAAAATGTTCTTTACACTAAGAAAATGTGACTTTTTTCTGATCTTTCTGAAGAACTGATCACTGAAAGGTTCTCTAGGGAAGCAGAACCGGTTCTTCTACGAGCCGCAGTGAATGCCTCACCATCCTGATGGGTTTGCAGGAGCCCATGTGGTCGTTGTGGGAGTTCCAGCGCTGGAACTCGGGATATTCTCCGCGCTCCAGGATATACTGCTGGCCCTTGAAGTCGGGATGATCGAAGCAGATCCAGGCGCCGCTCTCCACACGGATGGAGTTCACCCTGTTCATGAAGCCACGGTCCTGGAAGTTATCGCAGTCGCCGTACACCTCCAGCCTCCTGCCGGTGAAGCAGCGGCCCTCGTAAAACACGATCTGAGGGCCAGAGGGAGATGCAGAGGAGTGTGGGCTTCAGATCGACACATCATGACGACGGGTTTCACTCTAGGATCACGCTAGCCAAAACTGAAGGCTATCGTCCATCTATGAGGAACTGATGTCACGCTAAATATAAAATAATTCTACTAAAGGTCAAAATAATGCCAGAAACTCTCCAAGCCAGAGTTATCATAGTTAAAAACTAAAACCATGAAAGAACATTTTATTACTTAATTAACTAAAAAAAAATTGAAAAAAAAAAATATATAAAACATATTTTATTTACTAGCCGCTACGTTTCACGTTTTCATTTAAGTACTAAAATAACTAAATAAACAAAAGTTTTAAAATATAGAGATTAAAAAACTAATTAAAAAGTATAATTTTTTTCTTAAAAATTATATTTTTTTCATACAATTTAACAAAAATTAGAATGTACTATTTAAAAATCTAAAATTTTAAATAAAATTAAAATGAAAAATATAAAAATATAGTCTAATTTAAAATATTAACAAAAATTTGTTTTTACAAAAACACACATTACTAAAACTTTAACTAAAAATAAAATGAAAACAGAAATGACCAAAACTGAAATCTATTTCAAGATATTTACAAATAGCAAAAATCAAACAGCCTAAAGGGGCCTAAAATGAGGACAAACATCAGCCTAAATATTAACAAAGTAAATGCAGAAAGCTTCACAAGGAAAGGGATTTTATGAAGATCCATGCGTGCTGAATATGTTTCCAGCTAAAGGCCGGCTTCTGTGAGAAAGATGGCGGCTCTCTTGACTCGTGACCAATCAGATCCTTACCTTTCCAGAATACTGCGACATTTTCCACTGGATACTGTCCAAGCTGACCCACACGTGAGAAAGTGTGACACTGGAAAAGTTGGACAGCCCAATATATACAGCCGGTCGCGTGCGGGCCGATATCGCGAGAGCCGCTCCACAAAGGTCCCACAATGGAGGGCTTTAGCTTCTGCTGATGGGACGCTTTCCCGGCGCTCTGCTGATTCTGGGCTTTGACTCCAGGCCTTCAGTCCACGCCACAATAGATTTTGCTTCGCTCGACTTTGTGGGGCCATTTTTACAAAAGTAATCCTTGTGTTCAGTCGAACTGCTCTCGTGTCCCAGTGGATATGCATTCGTACAATCCAGATGACATGAAATTAATCTTTAGCTTCTGCTCATATCTGAGGGTTTGAGGCGAGACCTTCTGAATATCTGGAGAGTTTTACATGGAAACAAACAAACATCACAGACTCACATAATCCATTCAAATTGGAATTGAATCAAAATATGAATCATTCATTCATCAGTCAGAACAGATTTAGTTTGACTTAATGAATCCTGAGACACATTAAAGAGCTTATCAAGCTGTCAGTGCTTGTTCTTTGAGTAAATAAGTTATAAAACCCCAGAAACTGTGTGTCATTGTGTGATTGATTCACGGCTCAGTAGGGTTTTAATGAAACAGCGTCTGCTGTCGTTTCTGATTCATTACTGCATGTGTAATTAGTTTTTAATCAGATCATCGTGTCCGGTCTTTATTGGTATCACAATATTAGTCTCGTTCTGAATCTTGTTATACATTTATGAATCAGTGGATTGAAACTGACTAAAGTGCCACCAGAAATACAATAAGTGGATCATTCCTTCAGAACTTGCTTACTGTAAAAATATATAAATATGCTTCATGTAAGCATATCAGATTATCTGGTTTCAATCTCAGTTATATTAATTTATAATTGGATTATTTACTCAATGGCATTAACGAGCAGGTTGATAAAGATCTGAAGTTGGTCATTGCTCAATTACACTTCAATTTCATGTATAGGATTTCATATA